CCCCCATCTAGACCTCCAACAAGAACCTGGAAGCTAAGTTAAATCCAGGACTTTACTAAAGACTCTTTCATTAAACACTTCTGCAAAATGTCAGCACAAACGAGTCTGTTTGGCCATTCTCTTGCCTCTGGCAATCACTGATAAAATTGAATATGCCTCACAGAGATGTGAGTTTTCGCAAAAGAAACAAGCATCTCAGAACAAAAAGAAGTGTGGAACAGAAGTCAGCTGTGTTGATGGTGAACACAATAACAATTTTAAATGTGTGACAAACGTCTTCCTTGTCTCGATTTTCGATTATGCCAGTTCTGTAAGTTTAGCAGCTTGACAATTTGTTTAAAACTAAAAGCAAAGTTTTTGTACGTCGTCATTGTTTAATCCCATGACTAGCTGGTCGCACAGACCACTTGTCATTACTTCATCAGATGTGGGCTGTTTCGGCTCTGTTACTACCTCGCTCCACAGCACAGAAGTGCATCAGGAGTGGGTTGGCCTCGCTGCTTTGGTCCATTCAGAAATTACACCAAGGCTGCCAGAAGGAGTCTAAGTCCTGACTGAGGTGTCTTGTGAAAGAGCCTCAGCTTTCCCTGTTACCTGGCTCCAGTTAGCCCCGCCCCCTTCATGTACATGAATAAAAGCTTGGTAAAAAAAAATGCCTTTTTTCTGATGTTGCCTTTTGTTGTTCCTTATGTTGCTATATATGTGTTCAAAAATATTTGTTTCTAACATGTTTGGCTGAAATTAGTTCTTAACATGAAATCAGAAAGATCATGTGAGGTAATAAGTTGGGGGGGGGGGGGCAGTAGGCGGGACTTAAAGCCCCAACACCTGAGAGTGCAGACTGTGGCTCCAAAAGCAGGGCTGCTCCTATTAATCTAGTTCTGCTGGTTCAAATCCTAACAACCAGAGAAGGCTGGCAACACTATAATACAGTAGTCTGGTAACAACACTGTGCTGCCCGCAGATGTGCCTGCATTACATCACTTTGTTATTTAGACTGATCAGGACTTGATGATGTGGACATTTTAAAAACATAGCAAAAAGCTGGACTAGTTTTAAATTTTTTTTTACAAGGAACAACCCCACAAAAGTATTTTTGACTTCATTATTCCTACAATAATGTTTTAATTTCCCAAAGGAACCTGTGGGCCTGTTTGCACTCCACCCATGCAGCTGATCTCAGAGTTCGTGACTTTTTAGAATTTGTTTGTCGGTGAAATCATCTGCTTTGATTTAAAAAAAAAAAAAGAAAAGAAAGAAAGTCTTTAAAAAAACAGCACACACTGTTACAACCTGTGCTGCAGAACCCTATCACTGGTCACAGGAAGTACAGAGAGTGAAGGCGAGGGTGGGGGTTGGGAGAAGTACACTGACTAACTTTACTCAGAGGAGGAGTAGCTCATTGCAGAAATAATCTCATTGGTTAAGTCTCTTTTTCTTCAGAGCGCAAATGGTTATTTTTTGTAAAGATATGGGTGACATTCAGGACCTTGCAGACTTTGGACTTTATTTTTTCTCTTATTTTGGTTAGCAAGACAAGCTCCTGATATTATAGGCTTCAGTCTAACTTTACACTGCCAGAAAAAACTGTAATTATGCAACACTGCCAACTCACATTCCACTAAAGCAATGAGAAAATGTCTACACCCAGAGAAGCTCTGCCTCTGACAAATATTTGCTCAAGTTGACTCTCTGATCTGCCGAGCCTCCCCCCCAGCGCGGCCCGATCACATCAGGCTGCAGTTCTCTGTCTGCTTTTTCAGGTCTTCCAGCGTGGCTTGGGCTTTGTCTTTCAGCTGGTCGATGTCCACGTTCTGGATGTTGGACAGCTGGCCCAGCACCGACTGCTTGTGCGTTTCCTCCTGGTTGTCCTCTGCGATCATCTTGGCCAGCTCTGTGGGCAACACCACGTCATCGCCCGCCTGCTGGATCTGCGTCTCATCCACCTCATTCTGAGAGTGAAACAAGACACACACATGCACGTTCGTGCACATCTGGTCCTGTTTTTCAGTCTCTGGATGGAGTAAATTCATTAATAAAGTACATTTATTAGTTTAGCTTACCTTTGGTAGTCTGTACTTTTCCCTGAAGTGGGTTCTAACTGTGGCTCTCTCAGCTTTCTTCTGGGCAAAATGAGCTTCTCGTTCTCGTCTGCAGGAAAGTGGATAAAAACAGGCTTTACGATCACACAGATGTTCCTCCACCAACTCTGCTTTGAGCTGAGCATAACAAAATATATACATTTTTTCCCTAACTTCAAGATCCACGCTTTAAATTAGTTGGCGTGGCTCTGAACCAACAGCAGTGTTGCTGTAAGAAGCAAAGAAAGGAAATGGTGTGTTTGTCTGGGACTCCAGATTCAGCTTCCTGTTTATGCAGCACTGAACGTCTCCTGATTTGTCGTCCCGGTTTGTCAGCTGTGAGAGGTCACCGACAAAGTGTCGACACACTAACACAATTTCAGAGCTTTAACTGAAAGGAAAAGAGCAAAAACCACTTGTTTGATCTGAAGGTCCTGATGCATCTCAGTAATCCAGGCAGAAAAAAATCAAAAAGAAAAAATAAGTAGGTCCTCTGGATGGGTTCTTCTTT